ACCCGTCAAATCCACATCAACTGGTCATTCTCCACACATGTGGTCCCTAGACTATTGGCGGTCGCCAGAAATTAGTACTCGTTGGACTCTTGGGCGACTAGTCGCTTCTTTCGTCTTCAAAACCTCTTTGTGACCCGTCAGGTCAGCTGCGGTCAGCGAACACCGGTCTCGCGTCGAGTTCGTGATCCGACAAATGCCCCGATTTATGGCCTCGAGACCAGGTAACTGTATCACCGTCGCCTTGCTCGCAACGACCAGACCTGACCTGGTATTCAAACTACGGTCATACGGCCAGTCAGCTCAAGGTTCCGCAGCTGGGTTCACGATAGCAGATCAATGCGTGGTGCCGAAACTGGTAACGCCCATGGGTCGGACTATGGCCTCGCCCGTACACGTATGTAAGTTCATCCCTCATCCGCGCAAACAATGTCACGTCCTAGACGCCTCGATGTCGCAGAAATCCGGCAAGCCAGCACTGCCGAGGCCCTAAGCAGAGAAATCCAGACCTGTTTTACGACCCGAACCGACGGAGAAGTCAGTAACCAGTAGTCGTCAATGAAGACTTCAGTCTATGGGGTAGCTGAGAAAATCCTTGGATACATCCAGCGACGCCACAGTGGCTGGGTCAGCGGAAGAACCCTGAAGTTGTCTGCTCAGACGGCTCGAGCCAGGTACCGTAACGATGGCTGCTTCCGCCAACTTCGGAAGATGAGAGCAAAATCGGCCAGGGATGACCGGAGGCAATATTGGGCTGAAATAGCGACCTCCATGGAACAAGCCTCGAACGTTGGTGACACTCGAAAGCTCTCTAAACTGATCCGCCAAGTTAGCGGTAAGCCCTCTACACTGAGTGACTCTGTTCGTGACGTGAACGGCGACTTTATTGCTGACAACTCGGCCAAAGTCGAGTGCGGGCGTGAGCACTTCGAGCACCATCTCAACTTTGATACCTAACCTACATCGCCCTTGTTCTCCTCCTCAGCGGAGTTTTTTCCCTCTCCTACCTATGCAGTGCCATACGACATCCCTCTGAAGGAGAAGTCGGCGATGCCATACGAAAGTTGCGCCACAATATGGCACCCGTAGAGGACGGTATACCCGCTGGAATCTTAAAGTCCTGTGTCGACACTCTGGCGCCCTGGCTCCATGAGATGACTGAACGAATGTGGAGAAACAAGGTTGTTCTTGATGACTGGGGTTTAGGGATCCTTGTAACTATCCTCAAGAGGGTAGCTAAGACAAGGTGCGAGAACTACCGCGGCATAAGCCTCATCGACGTTCTTGCGAAGACCTTCGCTACTGTCCTACTCAGGCGATTCCAGGCTCCGCGTGACTCTGGGACGAGACCCAACCGAGTTGTGTTTCGTGTTGGACGTTGATGTGCGGACCAGATACTCACACCGAGGCGCGTTCTCGAACTTCACCATAGCCACCAACAACCAACGACCGTCTGCTCCATTGACGTTGCCGCCGTGTTTGATTCCGTCCATCGTGAGTTCCTGTGGCGGATAATGATGCTAAATGGTGTACCGGAGAAGATAATCGCTATGATCAAGGCCTACTATCGCTCCACCACCGGGAGAGTTCTGGTCCACATACTTTGTACGTCGCGACCGCAACATGCGTCAGACCTCCAGTCACACGGCACCCATGCGTACACGGTGACTGGTGTAGCACCGTGGGCCTGTTGGTCTAACTGTGGCAACCATCCGACCGCTATACAACTTA